AGCTTTAGGGCTATGTACTGATATAGATATGGCAAATTTCAAGAAATTATTTAAAACAGATAGGGTTGTTGACTGATATAATATGGCAAATTTCAGGAGAATATTTAAAACAGATACGCTGATTTGAGAATTTGTACATTGCGCTTATCACAAATGAAAAACAAGTTGGAAATATCAAGCGCAGACTTTGGTTGAACAAATGGTATTATTTTATGCGTTAATTTATTGGGTTAATGTTTACTATCCATGCACAGTACTTTAAATAATTCCGTATACAAAAAAGGCATTCAAGATCACAAAGTTTATGTTCTCTCACACCATTCTGATGGTTTTAAAAATTTATTTCCACGTACCACATAGTGCATTTATTGATTCAACACATAGTTCAACCTAAAGTGGGATTTTAAAAACTCATTGAACCAGAAAAGAAGTAAACACACACACACACCGTTTATATAATTTCCACGTACCACATAGTGCATTTATTGATTCAACACATAGTTCAACCTAAAGTGGGATTTTAAAAACTCATTGAACCAGGAAAGAATTAAACACACACACACATCGCTTATATTAGAATGGGAATATGAATTATATTCTTGTTATTTACTTTACATTTTCTTCGAATCGAAGCATGTTTATCACAGTAAAAGACGCATTTTGATGGCTAAAACATGTTTTGATTTTTTAATGTTGCTAATACTGGATACAGTAAGACCATCATTATCCCTGAATTGTATGGTTAGCTTACCTTCACATATTGGTGGATCACTTGACCAGGATTCATTCTTCAAGCACTCAAGAGAAGATGCCCCTACAAGTCGGTAGCTGGTTGGACAGGAGAAGTTGACCCTGGCACCGTACGTCCGGTTGTGGGTGCTGAGTTTCAGGTGCTGAGAATCCGGTGTGAGAGGTGGGCACCGAATGACTTTCAGTAAGAAAAACAAAAGAGATTGGCGAATATCACAGAAATAGGATAAAGCTTACAAAGGTGAAAAGGAAATAAGTAAAATATCTTGCAAGTAAAAAATAAATAAAATATAAGCATGATCAAAACGGAAAAGAAGAAATGGTAATAAGAAGAACAAAGGCGAAAAAAAAAAGAATAGAAAAGAGGGAGAAGAAAGAGAAATATACAGTATTGTTGGGAAGTAGAGGGGGTGGTAAAAGAAGAAATGTTTACATGTAAGTAACTGTTTTCCATTACGTGAATACTCGATAAAACTAAATAAACAAAGTCCAGAAGAAACGTCAGGTGAACTGTGTGTGTATTCGAAGACATGACGGTGTTTTTTAAGTCGTAGAAGCAAAGCTTGTTCAAGCGCACGATTATCATTTATTTACAGTGAAACGTAGTGTTTTTTCCGCCTACTACATAATGTATGCTCTTCGTCTTGATTTTTCCTACAGAACTACCGACTTAGTCAGGGTGATGATAAAAAAAAAAAACAGTCAAAGCTGCAGAAATCAATTGGTAAGGGAGTTACTATTGTTGTCAAAGAAAAACTTTTAGGTTATGTATGCAAAAACTTCTGCGTGTTAAAGTTCAAGGAATCCTTTTTCCTGACGGTTGTTTTGTGTCAAAGCCAGTTCATTGTTAAAAACAGAAATGTCTGGTGTCCTCCTGTTATGATGTAAATAATTAATAATACTTAATGATAAATACGAATTAGAATTTCGATTGAGTATAATAATGATGAGAATTCTGTTCTATAACTTTATTTTTTCCTGCTGTGACAAAATCCATTTTTCTCTGGCATTATTGATTATGATGGATATGTTTCATTAATGTTTTGTATTTTAATATTATAATTTTGTATTCATTTTGCACTTTTAGCTAGTATATGAATTTAGGACTAATTCAAATCTCCTAAACTGGCAGAATTTTTTCTTTTTCATTTCCGAATTTCATGCGAAGCTGAATATTTGTTTGTTCTGCCTGTTACGCACAAAGCTTAGTAGTATCTCAACCACATTTTCTCTGTATTAGTAATATCTCAACCACACTTTCTCTGTGTTATTAGTATCTCAACCACACTTTCTCTGCATTAGTAGTATCTCAACCACATTTTCTCTGTACTAATAATAACTCAACTTCATTTTCTCTGTATCAGTAGCATCTCAACCAGTGGCGCGCACAGGGGATCCCACTATACACATGTGCGTACACGAAATTTTCCCGTAAATGAGTAATAAATGTTCCCAGTGTCTGTCTGTGACTCACGGTCTTTGTACGTCATCTAGTGTTGTTTTACGGGTCTTGTTTAGACTTCTACAATGTGGTGTGACATCAAGTCGGAAAAAGGCAGACTTCCTTCCCTCTCTAGGTTGTGCTGACACTGAGCTGACAGCATGGCGTGCATAGATCAGTTCCGATGATGTTTCGGGCGACGACCTTTCTAGTGCATTCAAGGACTCTTGTACATTCTATCCGAACATCTACAACATCTTGATGGGTTCTTCTCTGTATGCCAGTATTGACATCGATAGCAGAACGTGTATTCAGCAATCTTCATCACATACCTCCGGCGTACGATGGGTAATTATCGGCTTACTGGACTCGCTTTAATGAATGTTCATCAAGATGTAACCATAAACATTGAATCAGTTCTGCACGCATTCCATGCTTCAGAACATATTGCTCTCCTCTTAGAAAATGAGTAAACCTATAAGTGTAATTTTTTGTTTTAAACTTTAATAAAATGTGTGTAATGTTCATATGCGATTTGTAACACATAAAATTGATTTTGTTTGAATAGTATTTCGCTAATAAACCTGTACAAAAATGTGCGTACCTTTCATTGGGTGTCTGCAGGTGCCATTAATCTCAACCACATTTTCTCTGCATAGTATCTCAACCATATTTACTCCATATTAGTAGTACCTCAACCACATTTTCTCTGTATTAGTAGTACCTCAACCATATTTTCTCTGTATTAGTATTATCTCCAGTTATAAAATTGGATTGTGTCTGATATTTATAACACCAACAGGATATACTTATGATAATAAAAGAACATATTTATAATACAGTTATAAAATTGGATTGTGTCTGATTTTTATAACACCAACAGGATATACTTATGATAATAAAAGAACATATTTATAATACAGTTATACAATTGGATTGTGTCTGATTTTTATAACACCAACAGGATATAATTATGATAATAAAAGAACATATTTATTGCAAACACAGTTGATCTTACGAGTCCTACTGATAGCGTCATTCAACTGAAAAAGAGTTATTGAGATGCTACTAACACAGAGAAAATTCTGGTTGAAATACAACTAATATAGACAAAATAAAGAGAAAGTGTGGTTAAGGTACTACTGATACAGAGAAAGCGTGGTTGAGATAATACTAATACAGAGAAAATATGGTTTATACTTATGATAATAAAAGAACATATTTATAATATCCTGTTGGTGTTATAAATATCAGACACATTCCAATTTTATAACTGACATCACCCATAGATCCGTATGAGGACATTTTATAATGTTTATAATTTCAAACTAGTATGATAGCATTTCACATTCATTCCCACTATACTAGGATCGAGTAAAAGTATAAGATAAAGGAAATATAATAACACAATATAATGTGTAGCAGTTACCCAAAAACCACAATAAATGGAACAAACTGTCAGAAGTCTTGATACTGGAGAAAGTAGTTACGACGTGTGTCTTCTGGCAGGAACATTGACTGGTTAAATAGTTCCTGCAGTATCAAAACCTCTGACAGTTTGTTTCATTTACTGTGATTTTTCTCTAATTGAGGCCTAATGCTTCTGTGTTTTTTATCAGTAAGGCAATCTTCTGAGACGAAGCCATAATGGTCATATTGTATGTTCTTGAGTGCCTTTTAAAATTACAATTTTTTAAATATACATGTTTAAATAAAAAACTTTCTTTAATGAAACATTGTCGAAAAACAACGAACCAAGAATCAATCAATTTTATTACCAAGGAGCGAAATAGAAAATCATTGTGCTTGAACTGTACAAATTTGAATGGTTTTCTTGTTACTGTGAAAATATTCTATTATATTTTGCAAAATGAGTTAAGGAAATACTTTCGAACAAGATATCGAAAGTGCTGACAAAAGTTTTTATTTTATACATCAAGATGGGCTCGAAGCTATTAAAAATGTGCATAATACATGAGCGAGGTTTAACACAATGAAAATAAAACATATATATGGTGTCTACTGACGAATAACCGTACAGGTAATATTAAAATTTAATATTTAATATTTCGAAGAATCAGCACTTCATTATAAATCCTACATGTCATGTTTTGCAATTAACATGTAATTAATCCCGTCATATTTTTGATTTATATATATCATAACTTCACTTTTAGTCTTTTAAAATTAATTCAATAATAACTGTTTCAGAATGTTAAAATTGCACACTTTTATTATTATTAACATTAAAATTAAATTAAAAAATGAATTAATAATTAGAATTAAGCTTTTATTCCTTTTTTATATATAGTTCTGCGAATTGGGGACATTACTGCATAAAATATGTGTCGAAACATATACTAACGGGAAGTGTGCTGGAATTGGGGACATTAATGCATAAAGTATGTGTCGAAACATATACTAACGGGAAGTGTGCTGGAATTGGGGACATTAATGCATAAAGTATGTGTCGAAACATATACTAACGGGAAGTGTGCTGGAATTGGGGACATTAATGCATAAAGTATGTGTCGAAACATATACTAACGGGAAGTGTGCTGAAGTTTATGCACTACACAGCTAGTGTATTACACTTTCATCGTTAAAAACAGTAAATATTAAAGATACAAGTTGCAATCACTCTGAATTGGCTTATTTAGTGTGGTTTCAAGAATCTTGTTTTTATACATTAATTATCACAGAGGACCAAACTTAGAATATAAGTTTCATCTTTATCTCTTTACAATGAAAAAAATATATTTTATATTTTTAGAAAATAATCTATAGCAGGACTTGCTGTATTTCTAAATAATTTGTTCCTAACTTACACAGTTAATAGGTTTAGCGTTATTGGTTTACACTCTTACTGAACAATTATCGTCTGTAGGTGTAAACTACTAATGAACTTTTTATGTAGCTATGAAACTCATTACCAAAAATTTGTCAGTAAAGAGTTCGTGAATATAAATTTATAAAATAATCAAGCCGAATTCATTCAGTGCTACTCCAAGTCGCGTGTATATTTATACGACGTTATTTTTTACCTCCAGCACGTTCCACGAGCGAATATTTATTGAAGGATGTTAGTTTCGCAGCGATTGAGAATTAATATGCACTTTATGCTTAATACAGGTAGACAATAAACACAACTATTAAACGTTTGTGGGTATTTGTTTGTATTCCTGAGTCCAGAATCTTGCAAGTTTAAACACGGATAAGTAAAGTTCAGTATAACGATTTCAGTTTCAACTTTAATGGATTGGGGTAGTTAAAGACACATATAATTAATTCTCAAAGTATGGTTTAATTAGGAAAACAAATTAAATAAAACAGACGTGTTGAAAACTAGATAATCAACAGCGGGCATCTTAATAAATGTCGATCAGGTTGATTGTGGTATGATAGTCCTTATTTACTTTGGGAAAATTTGAGTTATATATTATCTATACTTATTACATATTTGATTAATCTTAGAGAATTTGTTGTAAAGTTTGAGTTTTTTTAGATCAAAATAAAAGGCATTTTGAATTTTTGTATTTAGAAGTTTTTCTAGTTTTGTATGTCACAAACTCAGTTGAACATTCTTCTGAAACTATAGCAACTTGAAAATTTTGATTGCTACAGCTAATTATTGGAAATGCTACAGCATTTTATCACTTTTATGAGTTTATTATTTATAGGTTAAAGGAGTGAGGAAAGTTGACAATGTCCAAAATTTATACCCTCTAACTTATTGA